CAACGCTCAAATTGGAGCTGCTCTGTTGACAACTGTAGGATGCAGGTTGTGCAAAGTAACCCCGGGGTTCTTGGGTTTGTGTCCATTTGTTCCCGCTTTGCCTTTCTGAAACAGAAACATGCAGTGAATGTGAGAGATTAGAAAGGGTTTCTCTGCATTTAACCCATGGGCTGAGTTGGGAAGGTGGAAGATGAGGCTGAGCCTGGTTCACTTAGTCTTGATTACGGGCAGATCGTCTCTTTCCCAAGACATCTGGTTGGCTTATTATTTGGGAGTCTTTTGACTTACTGCAGATAAATGAATTTGCTGCTGTACTCTTGTACAAAGGCTGCATGATGTAGCCCATATGACTATAGATTCCTTTAAACTGTGGGGTTTTTTTAAAGTGAGGGACTATTGAAATGAAAGTATATGGGCCAGTCCTCAGCTAGCATAAATCCATATAATTTGTACTTCAAAAATCTGATTTGTGCCTGGTTTTGCATGTTGGAGCGTGTCTGGATGCAGGAACAGGACTGTCTCATTTCTGTGCTGAAAAGAGGCAAAACACACACACACACACCCCAAACCCAACCCACAAAGAAACACATGCTGCTTTGCTTATTTTACCTTGTTCCATTTGACTTGGGTTATCAGAAAGGCCATATGTTTTCATTCTTTGTATTTTGCCCCAGAACGATCATGGAGTTCCTCTCAGTTTTCCTCAGTTCTGAAGACATAATATCTGGCCTTAACAAATGGAAAAATACAATTAAAGTTGACAGCGGTCAGAAGGCATGGCTGTGTTTTTAGCATTAATATGCTGTGCATATGTACCCAACATCCAAGCTGCACCCAAAGCAGCTTCCCTCTCTCCAATTTGAAATTCCAAAACAGATGCTGTCCAAATATTTGTGGCAGCATCCAAAAAAAAAAAAAAAGCTACAAAATGTAGTGCTTGGCATGGAGTCACAACGTAATGGACGGACACAAACATCATTTTGTTGAGAGCAACCAGTATGTTCTGCCTAGCTGGGAGCGAGGAGGAGAGCCTGGTGGGTGCATGTCACAGGGAGGTTAAAAACTCTGGCCTGAAGTAGTAGGTAGGAAATGAGACGTTTTGAAGAACACTGCTAAGCTAGCTGCTGTATGCTGTCTCCAGCTTAATTTTTTGTTCGTTATTTATTACATACAATTTAAATAAGTGCAATGCAACCTATTTGGTTGTAACGGCTTAGTTAGCTCAGGCCTCCGGGACTTATGAAAGCCAAACCTTTTGGAATACTTTAAAAATAGCTGCTTTTTAAAAAAGAAAAGCTGTAGTTTGGGCATTTATTAATGTAATATTTCAAAGCTATTTACAGACTAGTGAATAGCTATTTATTTCAAATAATATTTCATATATTTCAAATAATAATAATAGCTACTTATTTCAAATCTTTGATCTCAAAAATTTTTCAACTCAAAGTCCTGACTGATGTGGTGCAGACTTTTATTTTGCTAGCTACTAATTTGTTTTCTTTATAATCTAAATATTGTATGATTCTTTTGTTTTGTTCAGCTCTGAATCCTTTTACAATGGAACAGTGAAATTTCCACCTTGATGTTAGAACTGCACTGTCCTTCCTAACTTACTTCACCCCTAACCACTAAGCAGCAAGCTTTTGGTGGCTATCAAACTGAAACCAGCACCCTTACCATGAAAGATATCGTAATTTGAGGTTATCTCATTCCCACGCAGCTGCATTAAAGTTGCAACTCCCATAGAGACACAGGTGGGTGTGTCTGCACCGGAATGCCAATTGCCCAAAGTTTCCCAAATTAGATCCTGCCCTGGAAAAAGGGTTGGGGATAGCATCAGAAAAGCTCCTGAGCACCATTGCTTTAATGGAGATGGCTGCCTCTGTATTTCTGCCAGGGCTGGAAGAGCTGCTGGGCTGGTCTGCTTCTCAGCAGCAGCCACCGCAAGTAGCGGGAGACCGAATGTCTCATCCGTTTGTCCTCACGGGGAGCTAGGGAAAGCAAGGACAAATGATAGGGAGGTGCTAACGTGCTCCTCCTTGACCCTGGATTTTTGGGGATCCTCTGTAACACCATTTTAGCCAGAGACAACGTCACACATTTTATCATGTCAGATGGAGTGGCAACATACAGGCAATAAATTGCCCAAGGTAGCCTCCTGCAGAATTTGCAGCCCAGCTTTCACAGGCCAGGCTGGATTCTCTCCTTACTGGTCAAAGCAGCATCAGACTGTAATTGTTTAACACAGGCAAGTATTTGACTGTATGCTGCTCCACTATTATTTGAGAACAGCCTTCTGTCACTAAAACCAATCACAGGGGAAAGGCAAAAAGTTCTTGTCATGGGGGTCATTTGAGCTGGAAGTAAGTTCTTTGCTCTCTGTGGAAGGATCATTCTGCAATGATTTGGGGAAGAAATCTGCTTTTTCTGCCATAGGTCAGATCCAGGTCCATGTGCTGCTGAAGTTCATAACATCATGATCAAGTCATTCATCAGCCTGTTCCAGCCCTTTGTACAAAATAGACATTGCTTTGCAGGATTAAACGTACTAGCAGGAAAAAGAAAATGAAATGAAAACCTGAGCCTGTTTAGAACAATGTATGACAAACCACCAAGTCTTGTGCCGGTGTGTTTACCTTGGCAGGCTCCCCTCTCTCCTGCTGGAAGAACCAAGTTTTCTCTCTACTATGAGAATTCTTTTATGGATGTTAAAAAAAAAAAAAAAAAAGACAGAAAAGAAAAACAAAACAACTACCCTGGAGCAGATCATTCATCATACAGAGAGTGGGAGCATGAAAGGGGATTTGCTTTGACCTAGTTAAAAAAACAAAAACAGAGACTTTCTTTAATTGCCCAAATGACTCAAGTGGGACTGGGTGTCAAAAGCAACAAATCTCTGCTTCCTTCAGAGCTGTATGTTAATACAGGGCACCAGGCTCCAACCTGTTCCAGTTCAAGACCTTGGGAGATGTCTCTGAGCCCAAGGAAGCCTGGGTAAGCCAAAGCCAGCCAATTCCATATGCCTGCAGGTACAAACAGGATCAGGAGCCAGGACAAACATGTTTCCTAAATTATAACAAAGACAGTGGCTTTAAATGCTGAGAGTATCAGGGCTTCAACGTTTGCTTTGCCAAGAGCTGCAGACAAGCGAGATTTTCTTGCTTTACCATTCTGGTACTGCTGTAGGAAGGGCCTGGCTTTCTCTGTCCAGCAGCATTTGCAGGGCTGTTGTTGATCCACTAAGCCTCACTTTTTATTTCAAAGGAGCCTGAGGACAGCTATGTATCCAAAATGCCATAGGAGCAAGGTGCCCAGCTTTTCCAGGCACCAGTGAAAAGCCCGGTGTCAGTGGGGTTGCCCAGTTACAGCCAGGTAAAAAATCATCCATTTGGCATCTTGTACAGCATTTCCATGACAGCAGTAGTTGTCCAGTACACGTGTGAAAGTAGCAAAAGCTATTTCTGTTAGGAGCTATTGGGCTGGCCCTTCGTTGGAAGTGCATCGATTCAGGCAGCTGAGGAGCGAGCCTGCAATTCTCACCCAGCGAGCACCAGCAGTCCTCAGCGCTGCAGAGAAAGGGCCAAGTGGGAGGTTACGGAGACAGGGCTTTTCTGAAGCCCAAATAAAGTCCTGGTTCTATTCAGGTTTAGAGGGAAGGTTCACAAGAGTGTGTATTTTTTCCCCAGCTGGTTCACCATCTATTTTAGATGGAACTGTCTGATCTCTTTCTGCTTTGTGTTTCTTTCAGTTTCCCAAACAATAGGAGGAAGCTCGCATGTTACGTGTGCTTGGGCCCCAACCAAGCTTTTCCCAGCTGGAAAAATCACTCCATGAACTAGAGTTTTGTTTGGTTTTTTTTTTTCCTAGCTGTAATTACAAGATTCCCAGTTCCCTTATGCATTTTGTGAGGCAGGTACAGGCTGCCTAAGAGGAACAATGGGACATTCCTGAGCGCTTAAACAACTGCTGTTTCCCCGCCATCACCCCCTCTTAAAACCTGAGGAGGGCTTAAGCACATTTGAGCTGTTCTGCTCAAGGTTACTGAGACCTCAGCTGAAAAAACACAGGGAGGTGCACAGCTCCGTGTAATGCTCCTGCTTTGGTGAGTAAGATACCCAGGCTCTTCCTGTTACCTGATTATATACACAAACACCCCAGATTCACCAGACCAGCTGGGAGGACTGGCCAAGCGCCCAGGGAAGCTGGCAGTGCTGCCATTGCCTCGGACAGACGCTCACCACACGTTGTAGCTCAGAGGCCAGGCTGTAACTAGCCTGGTAGACAAACTTGCCCATGGGACCAGCACGGATCTCTTATAGAAATGAGATGTCATGCTTGACCCAAGTGTTCATCTAGAGCAACAACCACCCGTGAGCACACGCTCAGCAAACTTCATCTCCCTTTCCTCTGGCAGGAAACCTTGCAGCTGATCCTGACTGTCCCATCCCATCATGCATCAGATGCAATATGGGTTACTGTTCCAGGGAATTGAAAGGTGCCAAGGTGGATAGAGGAAAGCATTAACCTTGACTGTAATGCTTAGGCAGGAGCAGAAAGACAAAGAATTAGGCTATAGAATGGCTCTGGCTAACTGTCAACATCCCTTTGCCCTGGTGGGGATAAGCACCTTCTTTTAGGGACCCTAATGTTTCCATTATTCTCACACAGGTAACATTATCCCATTGAGATCTTGGAGCACCTGGACACTAAGGAAGCAAATGGCTGTGCTGGCCAGGACCTCTGTATGCAATGGAGAGAAGGTAAGGAGGGATCTTCTCCAGACAGCAACAGACGGAGGTAAATCTCCCACCGCCTCCCCCCAGTGCTAAGAGACAACCTCCCACAGCTCTGCCTTACCTGTACAACTGTGGGCAGGACCTCTTCAGAGCAGCGGAGGACAGTCCCAGTTTGTTCTGGTTTCTCAGCCGTGTCTTCCTCATAAGATCTCTCATTCTCCCCCAAGCATGGCTCTCACCCTAGGGAGTAAAAAGAAACCACAGCTTGAAGGACTAGAGGCTAGCTGCTGGCAGACCTCATCTGGCCAACATATGATTTTGGGGTACTCCAGGGTGATAGGAAGAGGAGAGCTTCTTTATTTTGGACACATAAGAGCCAGGTCCCACAGAAGAATTTTTAACCCCCTGCAACGATGCCCAGTGGCCAGCCTGTACCTGTATAGGATGCAATGAGGCAGGATGGATCAACCATCAGTAATACTGCCCTTTTTTGTATTTCATTTGGTAACATTTCCATGTGTAGGACCCTGCTGTTCCTTCCGACTTAAGGTTTCGGAGAGTGAGGGGCAAGTAGCTGCCTTCAGGCACGTTTTACCTTATTGTTATACTGTACTAAAGGAAAAGATCAGTTTGGTTTCCTACCTACTCACATGCGCCCAGGGGGGCCTTTACAACAAGAACAACCCAAAAAAAGCAGCTTGACTCCCTTCTCTTTCTATTGGGCCAGGTGCATTGGTGTCAGCCCTTTTCAAGGTGGTGACTTTTGTGGACCATGAATTAGAAGAGATCAAGCCTTTGTTTCCCTGTCACGTCTGCAAACCACAGCTATTGGGCACTTCCATTTGAAATGCTAATAGAGATTATCAGGAGGTCAGGGAGTCTCAGGAGGCCCTCCCTAATGTTTGTTCTCTCCAGGCTGAGCTCATCTGGACTCATGAACTGAAAAGGAGCCACGAGTCGAAAAAATTCATGTTTTTTTGCTACATTGTTTTAAATTTCCTAAAGAAACGGCTGGAAAACCTTGGTAACAGAACAAAACCGATCATGCCCAAGGACTAGCGTAATGGGGAGAAACTACTCCCGTTTCAGCGCAGTTCTCAAACCGCTGTCACGTTGGGGATGTTGTTCTGCCCTGTCCCGAGGTGCCTTCCCACTGTGCCACCAGCAGAGCCATCGCCCCGTGGCTTGTGGCCGCCTTGGGAGCACAACCCATCGTGGCTTGTGGCCACCTTGGGAGCACAACCCGTTGGCTGCCCAGCCGTGTGCCAGCCCGGGCCGAGCCCATTGCGGGAACTCGTCCCGGGGCTCTGCCTAGCCTTCCGTTCAAACCTCCAGGCTGAGGTCACGGGCTTGGCTGGGAATGGCAACTCCGCTTTCTGCGCTATCGAGTTAATTGCCCGTAAAAGCGAGGCTGTTTGCTCACGGAAATATCAAACCTTTGTGTTTACTGCTAGGATTAATGTTTGCTGTGGAAGGGTTTTGGGGGTCTCAGCAGTCATCGTGCTGGTGCTGCCCTGGAAAAGCAAGCGCTGCTCATGCCGCAGAAAGCCGGAGGAGCTGCCTGTTCCTGAAGGCCAGCTAGCTGCTGTCTGCAGGGGGGGTGGGAGAACAAGGGGCCACACACAGTAAGTCGTGACACACGTGTGTCTGTTGCTTTGATAGTAAACGTTGGGGGTCAGTGAACCTCTTTTGCTCATGTATAAAGCTGTGCACTACAGGGGCTTGGTCCTTGATAATGCAGTTACAAGTTAAATATATTCGTAAAGGCAGTACATACCGATACGTTCTTGCTGATGTCCAGACCCTGAAAACAAAAGTCAAATACACTGATAAATAACAAGACAGCAAGACCATCTCTCAGTGCGGGGAACAGACTGGGCTCTGTTCTCAGCTCTGCCCTGGAGTCCACTCATAGCCCCCATCAAGTCATTTTATCTCTTTATGATTCAGTCCCTCAGGTGTGTGATAATCCCATCTTTCCTCCTCCACCTCCCCCCTCTCTCTTGTATTTAGGCTGCCAGTTCAGGTGTATAGCACCTAGTAGCCTGGGGACCAGTGTAGCAGGCTTCCCATACAGAACCTGCGCTGTAGCAGTAAAGGGGGCATTTCATCCTCAGGGTACAAAATGCAATACTAAGTGACGATACTAAGGTGTGGTGTAACAAAAGAGCACAAGGACGATTCAGTTTAAAGAGTGTGGATCTTGATTCTGCAGTTCTGTGAAGTCATCAGGGCTTCCCATGTGCTTAAAATAATGCTCGTACTCCAGATGTTGGCTGGACACAAGCCAGAGCACAAGAGCGCCTTTCAGGATTCAGCCTTGATTTGGTTTCTGAAGTTCATCGAAGTGTTTGCAACCTATTTGCAACTTTGGGGTGGAAATTTCATGAGAAGGTCTTTCCCATGACAGACCTACTCCTTCCTCTTTCCTGCTGGGCTGGGAATACTCTGATTAGGGCCTCTGCCCTAGCATTTCAGCGCTTCTGATCCCCACTGGAACCTGAAAGTGCTGAGGCAGCCACAAACAGTGGGAAAGAAAGAGAGGGGAAAAGCATTGGTCCCGGCTCCCTTGGATTCCAGCAACACTGTTTCTCTGAAACACGCTTTGGGGACTGGAGCTAATTAGGCTGATAACGCTGCCAGTCTGGTAATAAGCGTTTCCAACTAAGGACTGACTTGCTAAAGTTTGTATGTGTGGTAATGCACGTGTGATTGGTTTAATCTCACTAGCAGCAGTAGTGAAGACACTTGTGACAGAGTTCATGCCTTGAGTTACGTGGAGCTAGCGAGGGCTGAAGCCCATGCTGCTGTCTGCAGTGCTCCTCTCCCACGGCTCCGTTTGTGCCTTTCTTGGCATAAAAACATAGCCATCATCTTCGTTCCAGGCTGGGAGCAGAGAGGCACAGAGCACCCTGGCCCTGGCTGCCCCAGCCCACCCGCAGCAGATGGGGTTGGCTTGTTCTCCCAGCACCCCGCTCTCATCTGCCTGAGCACCGCTTCTCCCACAGGTCCCACTCGGAGTCTGGCTCCGAGCTTATCACTCACCTTTCTTACTGCAGGGTCCTTTGGCAGAAAAGCCTGTCCCTCAGCCACGCTACCAGCTTCTCTGAACTCATTCTCCTTGTTGTTCCTATTGTTTGACGACTTCCTCAGCCCTGCCATCGGCTGGCTGTTTCCTGATTCCGGGTATCTCTCGCTTCCTGCAATGAAACGCAAGGACTTGCTCACATTTCTCAGCCGTGTCCTGCTAGGACAGCCTCTGGGCAGTGCTGCCAGCAAGCTGTGACTCCAGATGGGATGAGAACCCTAAGGAGTTAACTATGGGATGAGACCCCCCTGTGTCTTCATGCCACACTGCAGCGGAAAGAAGGTAAAGGCTCCAATAAAGTGTCTGACCATGGCAGGACTTTCTAATGGCTTCCTCGTGGGCTTATTTTCCTTCCAGGCCTGCTCTGAAACTGCCAGGAAAGAGTATTTCTGAGCCTCAGTGCCAGAGATCCCAGAGGCCATTTACACTGCGAGTCAGTCCTGCCGGGAGGTGTGTTGATGTTTTGCGTTTCACCAGGTATTCAAGGCAGGCTGAAGTCCAAGGTTTGAAATAAACTAATCAGCCTTGCTTAGCGGGCTGGTTCACATCTAACATTGGATCCAGACTTTTCAGCTGGCTTTATCTCCAGTAGGCTGAGCCCAGTCTTTCTCAGCCTTCTGGAAAAGCTGGTCTCTAGATCCAAGCTTTGCAGCTGGGGCTTATTTCCACTTGGCCTATAGAATAAGTCATCCTCCAGGAATGTGTTCTGTGCCTGCTTGAGACTAACAACAGGCCTAAGGCTTTCCACCTTGGATCAAAGCCTACCTTGGCTGGGGGGATTTTAAAGCCACATGGAGGGGCTCCACTAATGGACCCATTCAGCCACGCTAAATTTCCAAGAGATAGACCCATTTTATAATGCATTTGTCCTAATCTTTGTAGCCACAGCTGCAGAGCAAAAAGTCCTGCTTCACACACATGAAGCAGCAAGTGTTAAAATCCTAGGTGTAGACAAAGCATTTTAAAATGCATCTCTCAGCTTTCCAGCTAAGGTTTAGTTCCACTGACACACTTTGCTCTGTCTTTCCTAGGGAAAAGGAAGCTGCTGGTCAGCTTATTTCACCAACTGGTGGCAAGCAGGAGGGGCAGGTTAGAGGTATTCGAACTCACCGGTGCAGCTGCTTGGCTTTTCAACGTTCGCTCCTATTTCTGGGATGATGGAAAGATCAGAAGGGTTTCCAGTCTGAACCAAGAGGCTGTGAGGTCTGCTCCTCCCCGCAAAAAACGTCTTTGTGTCTTGGTACGAGTTGAGGAAGACGCTGGCAGCTCCACAGGAGCAATGCTGCAGAAGGTACTCCTACACCAGACAAAAAGAAAGTATGCAGACTCTCAGGCTGCAACAGCCCAAGGTCCCGGGTGGTTCCGGGCGGTGCAATGGTACAGACAAATTGCAATCATTCCAGCCCAGTGATGCCCAGCCTTGTCCTGAACCCAGACAAATTGTTTAATTCTCAAAAAGGCTGAGCAGCCTGGTGTTGGTAATGTAGACTTTTCATGGGTTCACTGGTGTTCAACTTAAGTTGCCTGATACTCAGCATCTTTTGGGTTTGTTTCCCAGAAGGAATTGAATACAAGTTTCTAAACACAGAGTGGCTCAGCTAAGGCATTTGTGTAAACACACAGATCCATGAAAACAGTGACTCGCGTTTTAAGATAATGTTATTTGTTTAAGAATGTGCACAGACAACAGCATCTTGTATTTTTATTGATGGGATGCCACAGTTCGCTTGCACGTTGCTGCTCAGATTCGCCGCATGGGGTACTTCAGCTGGTGTACTTCTGCCGTAGCTGGCGTGGCGGGAAGGGGACATTTTCTAACTTGCACAACCGCGTTGCACCAGAGTTTAGCAGGGCAGGAAGCAAAGAAAGAGCTTTATCCAGCTGAAGTGGAAAGGGAACCAAACTGTTTATTGGTGTTGGAACCAGGGCAGGCCAATGCCAGTTTAGGACCTCTGGAGGCCCCCAAGCAATTGACAGGTTTAATGTAACACCTCATCTGGACATGTTGCTGTAGCAGCATGGCACTTTGTATTACCTATACCTTTGGGGGGTGCCTTGAAAATCTGATGAAGGATGCTGCTTTTGGCCCAGGGCATAAAAAAATTTCCTTGTAAAGCAAAGGATGTGGAGTAACCGTTTTCCCTTTGTGTCCCAGGATCAAAATGTCATCAGTCTCTGCGGTGATGTCTGTACAGCTCTCAAGAACAGCACTGGAAGCATTGGCTATCTACAGTCCTCACAGCCAGCTCTTAATACCACACTAACCCAGCTCTGCCCTGGGCGTTGTATCTTTCCTAGCCGTGTCTGGGGTGTGGAAGCCCTTCCATGCTCATACTCTGCATGGAGAGTGAATATGGTTTGGAAAGTAGCCTTAGGACACCCTCCAAAATGCAATGTGGACAACAGCCTCCACGTCTCATGGCAGATGGGAGTAGTAGTGTTCCTCTTCTACACAGAGGGGCTGTGACTCTGAAGAGGAAAATGACTGAGAGCTGCTCAGATATAGGAGAGGCGGGGACCAGAGGTGCCTGAGGGAGAGCACCCAGTTCTGTAGAGCACATTGCCAGTGCTGAATGTTACATCTGGGCGTCCCATTCCCCACTGAACAGTATGGGACAAATGTGGCTGAGAAGGCACTGCTGAGAGATCTTGGTAAATACCACAAAGATCAAAGTTTTGAATATTTAAATGAAAGCACAGTGCCTTTCATTTCAGTGGGAGCTGGGGAGGAGGGGGCACATACACCAGATGAGGATTTGACCCTGAATTTGCGGCTTGGAAGAGTTACTTTGAGCCATGACTCATAGTTGTAAAGCTTCAGGAAATGTGTTAACAATTCCCAGGCTCTATGTAGGAGGCTACATTCCTCTGAGCGTGAGAGATGGGTACATGGAAATGACGAGCGACTCTGCTCTGCAACCTGACTCACAACTTGGCTTTGGCTCTGAGGAGGAGTCAGTCACCTACTGCAGATCCAGGCCCAGCAGGTGGGAAAGCAGCACCGGGGGAGCAGCGACGCTGTCGGGAAAATAAAAGACTCGCCGCAGCATGGCTGGGAAGAAACAGTTGAGTGTGGCAAACCCCTTCTGGTCCTTTGGGGAGTGATAAAATAAATAGAAAGGGAGGGGAGGAAAAAAGCTGGAAACCTGGTGTGATGGCCAAAGAAATAGAACTGAGAAGCAGAGGTGGGGTAGAGCTGAACAAAATATGCAGGGGCTAAAAAATGCTGTTTAGGAGGACGCTGAAATGATCTGCAAATTTCAGTCAAATTCCCCAGCTCGCTCTGGCTGATAAAAGAAGACAAATGGGAACACTGAGATGTTTCATGTCAGAGATTCTTCATTTGGCAGCTCAGAAGCGCTGGAAGGGGAAGAGGGCATGGAGCTGGGTTAGCGGGACCACTGCTTCTCTTTCCCATTGTTTCTGTTTTGTGGGAAATTCTGAGATTTTGACAGTTTGAAACCATAAGTAAAAGAAAGAGCTTTTAATTCAAAACACAGTTACTACGGGGGTCCATAGAAATGTTTTGTTTTGATAGCATTGACGGGGGGAAGACGTGTTCTTGGGAATTTTTCAACTGTAGGGAAGTAAAAGCTACTGACTTTGAGCTGGCCATCGCATGATGTGAGAGGGATGGTTTTTAACTCAACAGAAGCAAGCACATCCGGGAGACAAAATTGAACAAGAACAGAAACCCAGGCCCACTCTAAGGGAAGCTGAGCCCACTCTGGTGGGCGAGGCCTCCCTGAAGACCAGAGCACCCAGCCCAGGTGGGCTTGGGGTCAAGTAAATTAGCATCTTCCCTCACACAGACTTGGAACTTTCCATCTGGGCCTTGAGTATATAATTGAATGGAGGATTCTGCAGTCTCCTTACCTCTTTTATCTGGCTCATCTTCTGCTCTTTCTGCAAGCTGCACACTTGCTTTTGGAGACGCAGGTTGTACTCCTGCAGCTGCCCAATCTTCTCAATCAGTTGGCAAATGTGTTCCAGGTATCCCAGACCAGATCCCAGGGCTTTGCTGTTACCTTGGTTCACCTGCAATGACAATGCATCTCAGGCCATGGAGTAACAGCAGAGCAATCCTTGCTAGCAGTTGGGAACCTCTAGTTCCACCTCCCAGGCTAATTTTTGTCTTTAACTGACCACAGGACCCTTGCAAACAAATATAATTCTTACTGTATGGTATAGATGGCTGGGGTCAGTATGGCTCACTTAGCCCATAGTCCTCAGCGCAAGTCACCCTTATGGGTACTGAGGCTGTGCCTGGCTCCTATCCAAAGGCACGTGTCTGCAGGCTGCAGTGATTTGCTGCTTTGTGATCAGCTTGGGGGTACACACTGTCCGCCTTTGGCAATCTGCAACCATTACGGCACAGCTGAACTCAGATCCTCATCACTGGTGGGTCAGTGAAAGGGACCTGTGCCTCAACCAAGCTGCCAAAGTGAAAGAACATCTTTCCACTGGTCTTTAGCAGATCCTAGCTTACATCCCTGCCGCTACTTTCTCGGTCACTAAGAGCTGCCTGAAGAAAGTCTGCAGGATCCAGGCTGCTGTCTGGCTATGGCAGGACATTCTGTGCCACTGACCTCCCCACACCCAGGACTTGCAGGGTCTCACTGCTGCTCAGCCAAGGGCAGTGCTGGAGACAGACAGTAATCCTGCGGCAGAGGAAAGGCAGCGGTGCTTCCCGGCCTCCCGCTCTGCTCCTCATCGTTCCTGGCCCCAGGACTTCCCCGTGCGCAGCAAGCGTCCTCTCCCGCGCCGTGGGCAGACTCCACTGAACGTGCTGCTAACGCATACACGCAGAGGCTCACTTCCACCCTGGCGCTGCCTGCTGATGTGCATGTGATATCAGTAAGTAAAATAAGCCTCAATCTTTACAAAAGCAGTGCTCTAAGTTTATCTTACTTCAAAAAATAAGTTCCCTCTACAAAAGCAGGAAGCTTACTCTGTCTCCTTTCCCACAACAATCTACATTTTTGGGGAAATGCCAGCCTTGGGACTCTTCCTGTCTTTTCATTATGTCAGAAAGC